TTGATTAACTTAATTCAGTGCATGTGTATGTGCATATGTGTACCTATAGACCAACTGACTGATTGATTAATTATGTTGACTGATTCACAGACTGATTGATTGATTTACTATGTTGACTGATAGACTGCCTGACTGGTTGACTTAATTCAGTGTATGCATATGTGTACCTATATATATTTAACTTATTGCACTGATTGATTGACTGAATGACTGATTGATTACTTATGTTGACTGATAGACTGACTGACTGACTGATTCACTTAATTCAGTGCATGTAAATGCATATGCTTTACATTTATTGCATTGACTGATTGACTGACTGATTGATTGATTAATTATTTGGCTGATTGACTTAATTCAGTGTGCATATGTGTACCTATATATACCTTTAATTTATTGCATGTTGACCGATTGACTGACTGAATGATTGATTATTTATGTTGACTGATAGACTGACTGACTGATTGATTATTTATGTTGACTGATAGACTGACTGCCTGATTGATGAATAGCGCGCAGCTTAAATTATATAAGCTAGTAAGAAGTTACCCGTTGTAATATAGGTGAACACTAAAGCAAGGATTCGGTAAACTTCACCTGTAAGGGTGGAAAATTGGTGGAAAACGGAGTCATACTTTGTTGTGTGCTCTGCAGCGTTGAGCTAACAAGCGTGAAGTCGCCGGCTAAAATCCAGCAGCTGTATACAATTTATTTATTTAATGCATCTTTTTGGTTGTTTATCGAAAATCTTTTATTGGAGTCCTGTTTTAAGTTCTTCGCAAATTGGACAGACCATTTTTGGAATTCATGGTTAAGCTATTGTACATTTTTATGTGATCTCCCGTACAGCCGTCTATCGCTATATGGAACGCAATGAGCGCAAAGTGATGCGTGTGCCACGCACAAAAAGTGAATCCATTCTGGCCAACCAGCTGTTCGAGCGCCTGGTCAAGGCCTTGCCATTGAAACAGTCTAGGTTCACGCCCATGCTGGAGCTGTTCGTACTGCTGCACAAGTATCGGGTCACACTGGCGGAAGAAACGCGTCAACAGATCGTCGAACTGGAGCAAAACTGGCTGCGCTACATCCAAACCCTGGGCGAGGCCGACGAAATGCTTGACAACGAGGGGGATGAGTATAAAAAAATGCTAGCACAGCAAGCGGACAAATTTAAGTTGATATTGCGAGAATTCCATGAGGATTTTTTCTCAAAAATGCCCAAAAAATAATCGGACAAAATCAAAAATACTTAAAGATATTATTGGCAACATTTTTACTTCACATTTAAATGAGAAATATGGAAGGAGATTATAATGAGAAGCACATAGTAAAATCTGATCTATTGTCGACATGAAGCAAAGAATTTCTAGAACCCTTAAACTTTATTATGAGAATTATTAAGCAAGTGGATAAACTGGCTGGTAAATTTTGCCAGGCGATTCAAGCAATAAAACTTGTAAACTTTAATTGAAGCATGAGAAACATGTTGTTAAAATTCCCAGAGAAATATAAAGCAGGTGGATAAACTGGCTGGTAAATTTTGCCAGGCGGTTCAAGGAATAAAACTTATAAACTTTAATTGGAGCATGAAAAACATGTTGTTCAAATTCCCAGAGAAATATAAAGCAGGTGGATAAACTGGCTGGTAAATTTTGCCAGGCGGTTCAATTAACAAAACTTGACAAACTGAAGTTGAGTTTAGCTGTAAACATGAGCAACCGGCTAAAGTTCCCTGATAAAATATAAAGCAGGTAGATAAACTGGCTGGTAAATTTTGCCAGGCGGTTCAAGTAATAAGACTTGTAAACTTTAATTGGAGCATGAGCAACAGGGTGTTAAAATTCCCCAGCGAAATGAACGTAAATGCATTTTGATTACCCAAATAATGAAAATAGAAGCCGAATGTAACTCATTATTTGTTATGTTATGTTTTTTGTCTGATAAAACTCACTCATGGACTTCTAATATGGCATTTTGCTGTGACTTTCGCTCTGATTTGGTTATGCAAGTATATTGTGGGCATGTTATCAGCATGATGGATTGGCTACGGCCTAGGCTAATGGGCACTTAATGATGTGGGGCCCGTCAGTTATGAACTGGGCTGTCGGCTATCCACTCGCACTGCTCGCCTGCTGGACTCTTGGGGTCGGCGGCAGCCACATACTGGGCGTGTTTGTGGGCGTGCATCGGTCGCAGCTGCTCGTCCATTTGGCGGTGGCCCGTGTGCTGCTCCAGCGTGGCCACCAGCTGACGCTGGTCACCACATTGCCGCTGGAGCATGAGGATGACTGGCTGGCTGCGAACATTACCCACTTTCTGGTGCCGTGGGAACTTCCCAAGCAGGAGCAGCTGCTCCTCGAACCCAATTTTATGAGTCGCCTGCAATGGACGCTCGCACGCCTGGAGCTCTCCGGTCAGCTGCTGAGCCAGCCTGCCTGGCTACAGTTTATGCAGGCAACGCCTACAACGCCCTATGATCTGATGCTGCTCGGCTACCATTTCAACGATCATCTGCTGGGCGTGGCAGCACATTTTGCGTGTCCCGTGGCCATAATAAGCACACAGCAGCCAATTGGCTTTGTGCACAGCCTGCTGGGCAATCCCGAGGAGCGTTCGTATGTGCCACAGCCCTATGACAGTCAGCAAAGAACTGGACTTGCCGGCTGCATCTTTGGGCTCTGGGAGAAGTTGTCGGAGCTGCTCGCCAGGCGCGTCATGCAAAGGATTTACAGGTGAGCTCGACTGACTCAGTTTCTCAGTTTTCGGAATATATTCAAGAGATTTGCTACGCACAGAAAGAATTTCTCCACCAAACCAGTATAAAATCAACTGAAATTAGCTGTGCTGAACAAGTTTATTTCAAATTGTCAATAAAATCGATAAATATCGATTCAGACTTTATTCAAGAGATTTGCTATGGACAGAACGAATTTCTCTACCAAATCGTAGTGAACAAAAACTCAACGAATATTGCTCTGCGGAACCAGTTTATTTTAAGTTGTCAATAAAATCGATAAGTATCGATAATTATCGATAACTATCGATTTAAGGCTTAGATTGTTGAGCACAGCTATGAAGGCTTACACACACACATCTGAAATATAAGATATTTATAAAATAAGCATATATTAAGGAGAAGCAGCTCGCAGCATATTGCAGGGTATCTTTGAGTCGGGCAGTCTCGATTATAGCACTCTAATTGGATACGCATAATTCCTGGATTTATATAATCTAATTTTATAAAGTTTGGATGAGGAAAAAAAAGTTATTCCAGAAATAAACTTTTTACGGGGTAGCTTCCAGTCGAGCTGCTGTTTTGAATTAATCCAAATAATCTCCTGGTTTGTCTGACTAACTCTCCCATCGCTGCACCCATTCCAGCATCCACTTTCCCCCGCCCCGCTATCCCAGCTTTGAGGCAATGCGTCGTCGCGTGGTTCTGGCCCTGAACAACCATCATATGATCAGCGAGGGTCCCATTGCCCCTGTGCTGCCCGGCATGCTGGACATTGGCGGCATCGTGGTGGAGCAGACGACCGGAGCACTTGACTCAGGCTTAGTTGAACGGCCCTTCATCATATTTAGCCTGGGCACGCGTTTCAGCTGGCGCACCTTGCCCTTCCACGTGGAGCGCAGCTTTGTGGAGGCGTTTGCTCAGCTGCCGGACTATGATATCTACTGGACCTACGATGGGGCACATGCCCGGGATATTAGCTCGGCACATCCGCACATCAAGCTCTCCGAGTGGTGGCCACAGGCACAGCTGCTGGCGCAGCCGCTCGCCCGACTCTTCATCACGCACGGCGGCAAGGGCAGCCTCAGCGAGGCGCTCTACCATGGCGTTCCTCTGCTGGGCCTGCCTCTGCTCGGCGATCAGCGTCCGAATCTGCGCAAGATGCAGGCCAAGGGCTGGGGCCTGGCCCTGCAGCTGGGCAATACGAATCAAGCGGAGCTGCTGGGCGCCATCAAAAGGCTGCTCGATGAAACCAGCTTTCGGCAGAGCATCCGCAGAGATTCCCAGCTTTATAGGGATCGTCCTCTGAATGCCAGCGCACTGGCTGCCTACTGGCTGGAGTATGTGATCAGGCATGGAGGCGCCCAGCATCTGGCTGGCAACGCCCGCCAGCTGAACATCTGGCAACGCCAGCTGCTCGACGTGCGGCTCGTCGTCTACGGCAGCTTGGGCCTGCTTGGCGCGGCGGCCCTTTGGCTGAACCTTGGATCGGGCCATAGAGTAGACACATCTGCGATCGCTGACTAGCTGTATCGTTTAATCGTAATTTATATATAGATTATTTATAATATATAAGTTTAGAGTTGAAGCTTAAACGCGAAACTTAAGTACAATTGAATGTTAGTTGGTTTCAATACTTTTTGCTCGGCCTTTTTCAATACCGAAACTTTTTTAAAATGTTTTTAAATATCGATACAATGGCAGTTCATATCCCCAGAAGCATGTGCTGTTCCTTATCAGGAACATTGAAAATGATTTTTAAGTTAAATTTACAAAATGTGTAATGAAAATAACGATAAGTTTATATTTATGGACAATATTTTTTGAAAAATTGAAATGTTTTTTGAGTATACACAAAATGATTGTTCTATAAAGACATTTTGGGTATACTTAAAAACCATTTCTCTTTTTCAAAAAATATTCAAATTAAATATAAACTTTTCTAAAAAATATTTTGATATTTTAAAGGCAAATTAATTTTGTTAACTTGAGACTTCAGATGAAAGGAACGTTCTTGAAAAAAATTTTTTCTTTTCAAAAAATATTCAACTTAAATATTTCATTTTTTTCGAATGCAAACTAATTTTGTTAACTTGACTTCAACGTTTCCAAAAATCATTTCTCTTTTTAAAAAAATAGTTCACTAAAATATAAATTGTTCTAAAATATTCAAATTTTTTCGGAAGCAAATAGATTTTGTTTATATTTTAACTTATGGCAGGTTTTTAAATGTTTAGAAAAAATAAGAAACGTTCTTAAAAATCATATCTCTTTTTCAAAAAGTATCCTTAAATCTAAATTTTTCTTGTATATTTCCTTTTTCGAAAGCATACTAATTTTGTTTAATTTTGTATCTTTTGGCAGATTTTCAAAAGCTTTGGAAAAACATTGAATATGAAAACCTGAACCGGAGCACCTTGTGCCATGTAAGTATATTATGAGATTTGGATTGCTTCTGGCTAGATGAACTGCCCGCTGTACCGCACAATGGACGATGTTTGATTGTGTTGTGCATTTAGGTAGTATATGTATGTATGTACGTGGTAATAGTTAAATGTATACACAGTTCTGGTTTGCTGGACTGAAGGACAGCAGCTGCCACCGGGGGGGGCGTGGGGCTTAGCCGAAGCCCAGCTGGCGCGGACAGCGTCCGATTTTTGTATTGAAGAGGCCGTAGTTGCAGACGGGCGGACTGCACGCGTTGCTGCGGATGCATCTAAAAGGGAACACAGGATTAGGCTTTGATTTGGCTGGAAAGTAATGCGGATTGACTGACTTGAGCTCGGACACGGCGAATCCCTCGTCGCCGTTCTTCATGCGCTGGCAGGTCGTGTTGCTCAGGTGGCAGTCGCAGCGGCAGCTGGTCGGGGCGCCACCCTGTTGCACGCCAAAGTTGATGAAGTGCTTGGGGCACTGGCACTGGGAGCTGCGCTTGCGCCGCTGGGCGGCCCGACTGATGCAGTGGCATTCGGTGTGATTGGTCAGCGATACTATCGTGGGCTGGCCATTCCCATTGCCCAAAAAGAACACCCGGAATACCTTCTCCACGGTCGTCGTGTTCTTGGCCACCCACACCATCGTCATGGGGCAGCAGCTGCTGTTCTCATCGCAACGATGCAGCACCGCGACATGCGGCCGATATGTCTTCGAAGTCTCGATGTTCATCCGGATGACTCGCGGCTGCGGCAATTTGCAGAGCGGCTCGTTCTCGATGCTATCAAAATTTATCTGGGCCAAGTTCCCTGCAAATAGGATGAAACCGAAAAAGGGCTTAATTAATGGAAGAGAATATATTCCGAAGGGGTTTAAAAGGGTCCTCGACCTGGGCTTAATTTATTTAAAGCCAGTTGCCACCTTTTTTTGATATACCCTACATCCTTATTGATGACCTACACAGAAGATATATCTATTTGGAGGCATGCGGAATTCAGTTGCAGTTTGCATTTTATAGCCGACTAATGACTTTGTGTGGGCGTTGCATGCAACATGCCACGGTCACGGCTAACTGCAGCAATTTGCGCCTGACTTCACCTACAACAAATGGCGGAAGGAGGGGGAGGCAAGTTCAAAGGCAGAAGCTGCTGCTGCTGCTGCTGCTGAGGAGCTGTGGGGCAATAACAAATTGGGCACACTGAATAATTCATGCGGCTGAGTGTTGGCATTTGATGGGCCAGGGCTGCGACTGAGGCTGTTGCCGTGTTGTCTGCCAAGTTGATGATTCAATCGTGCGGCGTTTATGACATACGCATGTGTGCATGTGTGCATGCCTGCATGTGTGCATGTGTGCATGCCTGCATGTGTGCATGTCTGCATGTGTGCATGTCTGCATGTGTGCATGTCTGCATGTGTGCATGCCTGCAAGTGTGCATGTCTGCATGTGTGCATGGGTGCATGTGTGCATGCCTGCATGTCTGCATGTGTGCATGTGTGTATACATGTACATACATATGTATGCCAGTGAGTGGCCAAATGGCAGTTGCTCGATCTGATGCTCGTTCTGATTGTGATTCCGGATTCCTGAGAGTGGCTTCTGCTCTGTGCTCCGTGGGTGGGCGAAGGGGGCGTCACTTTGTGTTTACATCTGGTTGATTTGTTTGCTTTTGCAACTTTATGACTTTATTGGGTGCAGTTTTGTCGGCATCTGCAACAGACAGCAGCAGCAACAACAACAACAACAACGAGGACAACTCTGATAACGACTGTGGCATAAAAACTGCGTACGCTAAAATTTTTGCGTTTCCTTTTTTTTTTATTGCTTTTGGCGACAGCAGCAACAGCAGCAACAGCAGAAACAACAACAACATTTAATGTAAACAATGTTCAGGCAATAAAGGTGCAAAACTGCTTCTGATCAATAAAAAAGTTACAACAAACAAAAAATGCGAATTTGCATGCACTGAATAGTGAATACTCTGACGCTGAAACAAAGCAAGGCAAGAAAGAAGAGCAAGTTTCGGAAGAGGGATAAAGGATGCCGGTTCGAATTCCAGGTGAGTCGATTAAATCATTGTTTTTTTTGTCAACCTTATCATATGCTTGGCAGATATTCTGTTTTTTAATTGTGTTTTAATGATATTGCCGACGCCAGCAAGTAAGATATTAAAAAACGTAGTATTTCGGCTATTATTAAGCTAAGATATCTTGACAAGATATATCTTCATTATTGGACAATTGTTTCTTTAATACCTCAGTGATATAGGGATCAGATATATGTACTACAAATAACACAACAGTTGGTTAATATACCCCTTAATATATGTACTTAGCAAGTGAAGCTCATGAAGATGAAAATATCTTTTAAAAGAGCATATTTTGCCAAACAGATTTTTCGACTGATTCTTTCCATAGACCTTTATAATATAGTACTGCATTCTTGATAAGATTTTGTAAGCAATATAGTCTGAATATTAAATTCCTGGTTTGGGCAAGATATCTTGATATCTTTATCCTACAAGAATCTACTTTTCGTGCCTATGGCAGCTATATAATATGGTTATCCGATCTGATCTACAATATATAGTATATACTTTATGGGTCCATAATTTACGGACTATAAGGGCATACAAATGACTTGAATAATATGTGCTCAATACGAGCCTTCCAAGCAGGATATTGTACTTCATCGGAACAAACAAAATGTATTCCGATTGACTTATTTTTTGTTTACTTTTTACTTAAAAATAATTCCATAAATACGCATGATTAAATTAAAAGGAATTTCACTGCGCTTATCATTGCTTCACATGTAGCCTGACATAATTAAGAAGCTCGCGACAAGTGTATACAAAATGAAAGACAGCGAGTGTCAACAAATTCGCAGCCTGCGGAGGGCGACCAAAAACGCGTGCGATCGAAAACGCCAGCAAAACGCTAGCGTTGCGAATTGTCGCTGATTCATTAAATGGATTACCTACACACACACACACACACACACACACATAAACACACAAATACATACGCAAAATGGCATTGAAGAGTGCAACGGCAAGCTTTAATTAAGTTGACTGAACTGCGGCGAAAAAACGCGCGAAAAACGCGCGCGATAAGTCTATTAAAAACTACTTTGAAATGAATGTAAATAAAAAAAATATGATTATTGAAGGCTGTGACATTCAATTAATTGTTGCATTCAGCACTTTGATAAGTGCTAAAAATAAATGTGCATTTGTGAAGTGTTGTGTGTAGAGTATAATTAATTTTATGAAGAAAAACCTACTATCGCAGTTCTGGAGGAGAGGCGCGGGCAGAGAAATCGATTCCAAGAAACATTTTAGCTCAAATATTTTGCTTATTTTACTTTTAATTGGTATTAATTCCATGAAGCATCTGCCACAAGTCACACAGCATAAATCAAAGAAGCAGATAGCTGGCTGGAGAGATAGATAGATAGATGGCAGATAGTTAGGCTTGTGCCATGGCATTCCAAGGCTTGCCAATGCCAATGGAGTTGCATATGAAAATTGCATGCACAATAATTGAATAAGTAACAACAACAACGACAACAACAACGACAACATTGAGCAAACATTTGAGATAACGGTTAATAAACAAACACATGTCGCTTGGCAAATGCCAATAAACAGGAGTCAATTTATAGGAATCGATCGGAGGCAGCCAAAAGCCAAAGCCAAAGGCGGAGCCGGAGCTGGAGACAAAGAGGGAGTCTGAGACGGAGGCAGAGACGTAGCCAAAGGCGAAGACGGAGACGTAGTCGATGCCAAAGCCGAAGCCGGGAGTCGACTTTCAACTTATTCGCTGCCAATGACAACAAAAATGTGATAAGAAAATTGTTGCATCATTACGCATTTAAACAGTTGCCGGCAAGTCCAGCCACAGCCCCAGCAACAACAACAACAACAACAACAACAACAACGACAACAACAACAACAACGACAACAACATCGAGGCATATCAGTTAACAATTTCCCAGGCTTAGTGACACACTTTCATTTGCGGTGACGTCGCTGCTGTCCACACGCGCTTAACGGTTTACGGCAAACAAATCAATCAGGTATGCTCGACTAGCAGGTGCCCTGTACCAACTTGCAAAGTGAACATATTATTTGTTTATATTTATAAGTAAAACCTAAATTACATTTTAATACATTTCTTTTTTCAGCTTACTCAAAAAATAATTTTAATCGCAAAAAATCGATCCAGAGTGCTCGACTAACAGATGCCCTGTATGTAAGATATTTTCATTTTTATATATTTTTAGGTACATTTTTAATCGAATTTGAATACATTTATTTTTTTAGTTAACTCAAAACATAATATGAATCGAAAAAATTCAATCCAGAGTGCTCGACTAACTGATGCCCTGTAAGTAATATATTTTTGTCTTTATATAGTTTTTAGGTATATTTTTAATTGAATTTTATTTTTTATTATTCTTTTTCTTTCAGCTTATCATAAAACTAATCGTAAATAATTCAATCCAGAGTGCTCGACCAGCAGATGCCCTGTACGTAATATATTTTTATTTTTTGACAACATTTTTATTTGAATTTTGATTAAATTTTCTTTCAGTTTACCCGAAGCATAAAACAAATCGCAAAAAATCAATCTAGAATGTACGACTAATAGATGCCCTATACGAAAAAGGATTTTAATGTAAGACTTTAAATTTTTTAATTTTCAGTTTACTCAAAGCATAAATCAATAGCAAATTTCATATATTGGTTATATTCAAGTGTATTTATGTATATCTATTACTTCATATTATATATATATATATTCATATTATATTTATCTATTGATTCACAGCCATCTGGTGGGCAGGTCAGCAGGGCGGATTCTCCTCAGTCTAAGACGCCCTGGATGCACATTAAGCTCTCTTCCAGGTAATATACATTAACTCTGCAAGTTCAGACTCTTGACTCTTCTTTTTAATACTCATATATTTTACAATTTTCAGATGGCACAAATAGTATACAAAAGGAAAACGTGTATCAAAAATCAAACAGTTTTAGACGAAGAAATGGACTAGGAAATTGATTCTTCTGATTTGCGCGAGTTGCAATTGTCATGAATATGCCAGATGGGGTAAGCTACTCTCATATTTATACTGCCTGCTAAAACCGAACATACCCGCCTTTAAACATTTTTAAAGGGCATCAGGTCTTAACGAGAAACCAAACAAAAAAAAATAATATACAATTTTCACGCGCTTTAAACGGCAATTTTCCAGCCGAATGGAAGTGGCAATGTAAAAGATACACGCGATGAGCTCACATTTCATTGTCAATGAGCAAATGTTGTTGTTGTTGTTGTTGCAGTTGTTGTTGTTGTTGTTGTTGTAGCTTCTTCGCTTGCATGCCCGATAGTCGCGGGCTTTTAATGAAGTAATTGGTAAGATCAGCACAAGTCTAAAATACCACAGCCGCAACAGCAACAACAAATCAAGTACGAATATTAAATACACTTTCTGCTTTCTAAAAGATTTCCAAGAGGCGAATGAATATTAAGGCAATCAATAAATATTGTTGAGGGTTTATATCTTAGTTTATGGATGTTATATCTGAGCTAGTTGATCTTAAGAGAACAATTATATTACATATTATATTATTCTATATATTTCCTCCTTTTAAATCTCAAGAGCATATGATTTAGTTAAATTAAGGGACTACAACATATTCTCTTGGAAGAATGATAAGTCTATGCCTAAAAAACATATTTTATCTCCTTATATATTTTTCTGTATATATGTTCATTTTATTTATTATTCTAAATATTTCCTGCTTTTAAGTCTGAAGTTCTTAAAACTCTCTCTCAAAACTAACTTGAAAAAGGCAAAAAGGCAATTTAAATTTAGGGGACTACAACATATTCTCTCTAAAACAAATTCTCCTTAAACCAATTCCAAGCCTAAAAAAACATATTTTCTCTTAACGGAAGCTCGAGCCCAAAATGTCGCGCTCAATGTGTCAAGCGACAAAAAGATAGTTATTCTGCAAATGCTTCTGCAAATAGTTCAGCAAATACTTCTGCAAATACATCTTTGAAATACTTCTTTAAAATGTGCCAAGATAAAAACTCTTTAAAAAAGTTAAAAGAATATTTTTGGGGCAATAGATACTCATTATTGTAGATACTCTATTGGGAAGTAGTTAGAGTAAGAGTAGTAGAAAAAAAAGCAACTTAACAACGTTGACAAGTTAACTCGTTTTAATTGCAACGAAAGTGCAGAGCAAAAGATGGGCTTAGAGAGCAAGAGACAGAGAGAGAGGGAGAGAGAGAGAGAGAGAGA